CTCGGCTGCCCGCGTCCCCCCCACTCGGCTGCCCGTGTCCCCCCGCCCGGGCTGGCCGCTGGCCCTTGGCCCTTCCCGCGGCTGCGGCTGGCTTGCTGCTCCCAGGCCGTCCGGATCCTGCCGGGGATGGAAGTGGGGGGCGGAACTGGCCTGTGGGTGACGTGGGGGCTCTTCCTCCGGGGCCGCTTTATCCCCCAGCTCAGCCCTGGGAAGTGGGACAGGGCAGCAGGGTGACAGGGTGGCTACCCGTCGGCAGATGGGGGGCCAGGGCTCCCCAGCCGGAGGGGCTGACCGCTGACCACTGTCTCCTCACCGCGAGCTAGCCGTCCACCTTGGCCCCACAGGCGGCCCTCAGGGAAGGTGTAGTGCGCCCCCCTTTTACAGAGCAGAAAGTCGGGGCTCCGAGATGGACGCCCCAGGGGCACATGGTCACAGGCTGACAGGTCCAGGCCTGGCTGCCCGCCTCCCACCTGCCCTGCCTAGGGGGCCTGCTGGCGGCCTGGCAGGAGCGGTGGCGAGGGCGCTAGCACCCAGGGGCCCTGGCAGAGCCGTCCAGCGTGACGTGGCGGGAGCGGGCAGCACCTCCCAGGTCAGGGGACAGAGGCCCCAGCCACGGCGGGCCCCTGGCTTGTCCCCTGGGGAGGTGGCGCCTGTGTGGGTGTGTGGCAGGCCCTGGGGTGCTGCAGGGCCCAGCAGGGAGCCCCCGAGAGGCCAGTGGCGGGCGGCATGCGCCCTGGTGCTGCCCGCTGCCCGCTCCCGCCTGCAGGATGGCGTCTCCCGGGAGGAGCCCCCGGGGCTGGCTGACCGGCCCTCAGCCGCCCCTCCGGGCGCCGTGTCCGAGGAGGACGGGCCCCTGCCCAGCCCCCTCCCTCTGCCGCCCTCCGCCCCAGCCCTGCCTCTGCCACCACTGTCGGGGCCCCGGCGAGGGCCAGGAGGTCTGCCCCCCAGGACGCCCGCCGGCCGTGGGCAGCAAGTGAGGTTTGCGGGGTGTAGGAAGGACAGAATGGGGCGGCCCCAGAGTGAGACAAGTGTCCAGGCTCAGAGGCTCATTTGAGGGTCTGGAAAGGGGGTGCAACCCCCTCTCCCCATTGCCCAGAAGGGGACAGTGAAGGCCGGAGAAGGGGGGCAGTACCTGGGGTGCCCCGCCGGGGCTGGGATCTCCTGGCCCCCGGCCCTCGGTCCGTCCCCACGCAGCACAGGGTGGTGTCCCCTGCAGCGCTGTGGGTGCGGCTCACCTCTGCCCGGCAGGCTGAGAGCTCGGACCCGGAACCCCGGGCCTTTGGGGAGGGCAGGCTCTGGGCTCAGGCCCTGGTGGCCCAGGACAGGGCTTCCTGCACGCAGCCGCTGCCCCCCGCTTCTCTTCGGCAGTTTCTTTGCTGGAGCCGGCGGGAGGGCTGTCGAGAGGCAGTGCCCTCTGGTCTGGCCCCTCGGGCCTCCAGGTGGGTCTGCCCAGCCCCCAAAGGCAGATGAGAACCCCCAGGGGTGTTCCCGAGGCAGGGCTGGATTTTCTGTCCGTCCTGGGCATGGGAGAGAGGGGCCAGC